GTGACAGGTGTGGACGAAGCCTGCGGGGGAGCGGGGCCACTCGTCACTCCCGCCAGGGTCCCCAGCAGGACCGCTGGGCTTCTGTCCGGGCCGCGCCGGACAATGTCGCCTGGTCGGGGTCGCCGTGGGTGCTGACGGACCCCTGGGGAAGTACCAGGAGGTCGTTGTGTGGGGCCCGAACTCGACCTGGTTAGGAAGCACGGGCAGGACGTCTGCGACCGCTGGGAGGCTTTCAGGGGCTGGGAGGTGGCTGCGATCGCAGCGAGGCTTGCGTGTGCGCGCGCCCACCTCGTAGCTGTCACTGTTGGTTTAAGGCTGATGTGGACGGCAAAGCGCCCCTGCTCCCGACTTAGGGTCCCCGATTACCTTGCCCTGACTCTGATAAACCACTACGATCCTGACCACTCTCCAGCTGCAGCTCTCCGTCTTCTCCTACGGATATTTTATTTGGTTGGTTTCCGTGGTCAGGAAGCCTGGGATGGAATGAGACTGGGGAAGCTTTGGTTTCCCTCTTAACTGGAGGCGTAAAAACACTGTTCTTAGATTCTGTTTCGAATCTGGGATTGTGTAAAACCCCCAGTCCGCCTTGTACTGTCCCTACTCCATTTGCCAGGTTTGGAATTTGGGAAGACTGATGCTGATACTGATCTTTCTCCTCTGGACCAGTATTTTCTGTAGTGTGAATGGAAACTGAACTCCATTGCTTTTTATATTTAAAAAGAGAATTAGTAATATAAAATTGTTATTATTATTTTATTGTTATTATTAGTTTTAATTTTCCCAGAGAGGGGCCGAGAGGGAAAAAGCGAGAAAGCAGGCCCTCGGGTTGGGGACTCACACCGTGGTCGGCCATGTGGGAGAACAGTGCCTTAACCACCGCACCACCTGGTGCCCCCTCAACTGCATTTATTGAACTGAAATCCTCAGTTAATTTTCTCAGGGCAGATGTTTTCTAAAATTATATTTTATTAGACATTTATTTCAATCCTTGGGTAGATTTTTCTGAGTGGATTGAAACACTTTAGATGGTCTATCAAGCCAAATATATCAATACATTTATTTAGCATTTTGTGTGTGCAGGCACTCTGTTAAACTCTATATGTATCATTGAATCTTCCGTATTATCCGATGAAGTACTGTTACTTTACAGATGAGGAAACTGAGGCTGAGAGTCTTAGAGCTAGTGAGTGGCAGAGGCGGGGTCCGAACCAGCTTTTCTATTTCCGAAGCCTGTGATCCTATAATCTCTATTCTATAACTCTTCCTAAATCGTTTATATAGATGTCATTCTTCCTAAGATCCCCCACCTATTTATTTTTTTAACATTTCATTTGTTGTTATTATTATTTTAATTTGCTGAAGGGCACATGTGCTTATTAGAGAGAGACAGTATGAGAGAGAGAGAGAAAGTGAGAAAGCAGGCCGCCTGGTCCAGGACTCAAACCGCGGTAGGCCACGTGGGAGTCCAGCTCCTCAATCACCACACCACATGTTGGCCTCAATACCCCAGTTATTAACACACCTATTTCAGTATATTGGGTAATTATTATTCGTTTTTTCAGGTAGGCAACTATTGTATTTTCATATTCCTTTTTTGAGAGTTTTTTTGCTATAAGGTGTGTGTGCTTGCTGGAGAAACAGAGCGACAGAAGGCAAGAAAGCATCCCCTCCAAGGGGGATGGTCACGCTGCAATCCCTTCTCCATTTTCCTCTTGGGATTTTGGTGATGTGCGCGGGCACACGCACACACACACACACACACGCACAGTGTGAGTTTTTTTTTTTTTTTGCCATACCACGTGTGCTTGCCAGAAAGACAGAGACAGAGAGAAATCACCCCTTGGGGGGTGGGGGGAGGGCTGGCCACGCTGCAACCCCTTCTCCATTCTCCTCTTGGGATCTTGGTGCACATGTGCCCGGCGTGAGTTTAAGCCACCGGGATTCGAACCGCTGTTAACTACATGGGAGTCCAGCAACATAGCCGTTACACCAACTGCTGGTCCCCCAGTGTGAATTTTTAAGCTGCCAGGTTCAGGATTTGAACTGCGGTCTACTATGTGGGAGTCCAGCAATGGAACCATTATGCCATCTGCTGGTCTCTATTTTCATTTTTCTTAAACTGTAACTATGGGGCACTTCCTGAAAGTATTGTTACATTTTTGTCTTCACGCTGGCTGCATTTTCTTGACTGCCCAGATTGCTTGACTCCTAGTGTTAATGTTCTGTAACAGCGCATTCCGTTCTTGTACTCAGATCAGTGACCCAGCTCTCAGTCTCTGCCCTGCCCCTCCGTGAGTGTGCCCATTTCCCATTGTTGCCCTTTTTTGAACTGCTGAGACCCTTCTTAGCTGAATACGTTAATTCAGACTCCTTAGGTGTTCAAAGGGATAGATTTTACAGACAGTAGAGTGAAACACTACTGTCTGTGTTTCTCAGTAAAATATGGACTCTCTTTCTGGGAGCTTTCACTAACTTTTATTTTAAACATTATTTATGGTGGCTGGGAGGTGGTGCAGTGGTAAAATGTGAGGGGCCGACCCACATGGGGACGTTTCAGGCTCATGTCCAGGGACTCCCTGAGTTTGCCGGGCATGGATGTGCCTTTGATCCCGAGGATCATGGTGCCAGGGCCTTGTTGGGGTGCTCTCTTTCTCTGTCTCACTTTCTGCCTGTTTCTTTAGCTCATCGAGGAAATAAGTGAATAAAATTTAAAAACAATTATGGGCATTAAAATACAAATTTCACAGTTATTTTAAAGACTTAGTAGTCTTTCTTTCTTTTAGGTGTTTGCCACAGGGTGTGTGTACTCACCAGAGAGAGACAGAGAAAGTGAGAAATCACTCTCCCCTCCCCCCCCCAACTAGGGGGGATGGCCATCCCACAATTGCTTTTCGTTCATTCTCCTCCTGGGATTTTGGGCATGCATGCACATATGCTAGGCGTAATTTTCAAGCTACCAGGTCCAGGGCTCAAACTGTGGTGGGTCATGTGGGAATCCAGCACCTTAACCACCATGCCACCTGCTGGCCCTAATCTTACTTGCTTAGTACAGTTTTAGATTTACGGAATGATTGAGCAGATGTTACACAGAATTCCATCTGCCTCCTCTTACTCAAGGCAGTTTTCCCTAATGCTAACATCTTGTATTAGTGTGATACACGTGTTCCAAGTGAGCCAGCATTAATACATTATTGTTATTAACTAAAGCCCATAGCTTGCTTTAGGATTCTCTGTGTGGACACACTGGGTTTTGATGAATGTATCCATTTTTACAGAGTCACGCAGAATAATTGCACTGCCCTAAAAATCCCCTATGTGGCACCGGTTCATTTCTCCCTCCTTCCTCCTGTGCTTCCTCTCTGCGCTCCCTTAGCTATTGATCTTCCCTGATGACAGGACACCGAGCACCTTACCATCTGTGTATTCCCACCCCCATCGATCTCCTGCTTGCCTTTACACAAGCCATTTTCCCCCTTTCTTCCTGTACGATGTGTGGCTCAAGATCAGACGCTTCCATTGGCCACTGTGGTTTGGTTTACACCGTCAGTGTCTTCTCAGGGTTCTCTTCCTCGTCTCACACCGTGCGAAGCCTGGTGCTGCCTCAGTGACACAGCTTTTCCTAAAGCTCTGGGGACTGGTGGCTACTTTCACACTCACGCTTTGTACCCCAGGCCTCTGAGGGTGGGATAGGTGTCTTCCTTATCTTTCGCAGCACCTGCCAGAGCATTCTGTTTCTCCACTCTGAAAACACTTAGGTTTGAGTCTCATTTGATCACAATACACCGTCCCCTTCCTCTCCTTGTTACAGTCATCTGGTGAGTCCTAGGTCAGTCTCCCTCACTGTCTGAAAAATGTTAGCTGCTAGCTTGCCGTCACTTTTTAAGAAAAAATTGTCAGAGGGTGCATGTACTCATCAGAGAGGGGGAGAGTGAGAAAGCATGTACTCCTCAGAGAGAGAGGGGGAGCGAGCATGTCCCCATGTGGTCACACCACAATCTCTTCTCCATTTCTTCTTCCTGTTGGGAAGAGGAAATTTGGGCATGCGCGCACATGTATCTGGTGCGTTTCTCAAGCCACTGGGTCCAGGACTCGGACCATGTGGTCAGCTGTGTGGGATCCAGCCTCCTGAACCGCCACGCCGTGGCTGGCCCACTCGCTGTCTTTCTCTCCAGCAGTACTTCTGTCGTGAGTCTTGGATGGTCAGTGTCCTCAGATACTCTGACCTCCCGTTTCTGGGCCTTCTCTCCCCTGCTGGCCTTCTCTCTCTCCTCACCTACCCCGATGTGACCATTTACTTCCTCAACCTAAGCCTAATCCTTTGCGTTACTGATAGCATGGTCTTACTTTCCAGAACCCCCCCTGACCACCGTCTCTTAGCTTACCGGCTCCCCTCCTTTCATATTCCAACTTCAGTCGTCCTTCAACCCTGCTGAGAGCTGGCCATCTTGTCCCTGCCCCTCCTTCCCTTCCTGTCATCACTCCCCCCTGCCTAGTTCGAATACTGTGGGCAGTTACTGTTACCATTCCCATGCTTACGCCTTCAATGTCCTTGTCTGTCCCTTGCTCTGCAGGGATAAACCTCAGCCTTAGGTAAATCCAACTCTGCCCCCCATTGCCTGCATTAGTGTAACTGAGTGTGGCAGAGAGAAAAATAGAAGCATGTATTTATTTATTTATAATTTATTTAGGTTTTTGCCATAGGGTATGCGTGCTCGTCAGAGACTGAGAGAGATAGAGAGAAAGTAAGAAATTATCTCTCAGGGGGGATTGCCATGCCACTATACCCTCTCCTCCATTCTCCTCTCGGAATTTGGGACACACAAGCACATGCACCCGGTGTGATTTCTAAGCCCCTGGGTACGGGGCTTGAACTGTGGTCCAACACCTTAATCACCTTGCCACCTGCTGGCCACTGATTTCACTTTAAATTTGTGCTACTAGTTCACAATCTGCCTTTAAGTGTCATCAGGCTGTGTTTCCCTGGTCTTCTCACTCTCTTGCGCTGTTTTACGAAGCGTCTTCTCTCTTGGGACCTCCACAACTCCGCCCTCACCCTCCTGTCAGAGCAGGGCTCCCCCAGCCTCTAACCTGCCCCCTGTCCGCAGTTTCCTCCTCTTCTCTGGCCGAGAATGAACAGCCTCTGGCTCCTGGCAGGGCCAGTCCTTGCGCATGTGCTTTAGAGCCCGCCG